GGACGCTCACTCATGTGAAAAGGGAGGTTTGAAACTGATATTTGAGGGAGAGACAGAAACATCTCTAACTAAAATGGAGAAGCTAAACTCCATGGAGGCTGAGTGGAAGAAGGAAATGGAAGTAGTGCCTGGTGATCGGCAGAAGCTTCCACAGGGAAGAAAATCAGGTTAAGTCCTATGGTCCCATATAACTACATACAAAGCTGGTCCATCAGAGGCAAGACACTATCATCTTGAACAATAAAAATCTCATTCATTGAAAAGCAGAGCATCAGATTATTTCTTGGCTTGCCCAACAGACACTACGATCTCCCAAAGAGTTTAGAATGCAGCAAAAGACAGTCCCATCTTGGGTGGAGTTGTGAAGTGGAAAGGAAAGGAACCGTGGGGAAATAAATCACTTCATATGAGCTAGGGAGGTCAGACATAAACTTGGATATTAAGAAGGCATATTTTTAAGAAAATCAGAGAAAATTTAGACCCAATACTTCAAAGGGAAGATGGTTCAAGAAGATTGGAAAGCTCACAAAAGCAAAATTGGGATGATATAACCATAGTCAGTAGGTATGAATAAATAGAATAAGAAAAAATGGACACACCAGCATACATATTAATATTTTATCAGTCACTCAGAAATTCCAGTTGAACAGCGGCCCAGCTATTGAAGGTCAGAGATGGATTTCCAAGACACAAGCACCATGAAGGAACACCAGGATACAAAGAAGATTATAACATGGCCTGTCTTTGAGTTGAACACAAAGTTGTTTAGGTGAGTGCTTAAAACAGAATGAGGACTCAAAAAGCATCATCAGAGGCGGACCAGCTTGTAGAAGGACCAAGTGAAGTTCTATAAAGCAGTTTTATTACATTGAGTCCGATGAAAAAGATTATAATTATTACAATAACGAGTTGCCATAATGTTGACTCCAACTCATGGTGACCCCATATGTGTCAGAGTAGAACCGTGTTCCGTAGGGATTTCAATGGCTGATTTTTTGGAAGTAGATCACCAGGTCTTTCTTCTAAGGCACCTCTGGGTTGACTTGATTCTCCAACCTTTTGGTTAGTAGCCGAGCACATTAACTGTTTGCACCACCCACGGGCTCCAATAAGTATAACAGCCAGCAATTATTGAGTATGTTTCAAGTGTTAAATATTGATTGAAGAATTTTCTATGCATATCTCATTTAATAGTTACAACAACCCCAAGAAATAGGTGTTACCATTATTCATATTTTATCCTCATATGAGAATGGGAGTTATTTAACTTGTCCTGGCAGAAGGTGGTGTCTATAGCCATTGGGCTTACCTGTGCGTTAACCTTCAACAATGGCTAATTCCCTCCGTATAACATTCAAGAATTGGGAAATCCTGCTTGAAGGAATTTCATTATAATATATGTGATTTCTATGTTTGTTTTTGTGTCATATAGACCCTGCTTTACTACTGGGTCACATGAGTTGGAATCTATGGGTTTAGTTTCAGTTTTACCAATGGAAGACACATATTCTGTTAGAAGAGAAATCCCACTGCCCATTTGAGTCAGCTAACTTTGATGTAGAGCTTTTAAGCTGTAATTGTTATTAACATGGGAGCAGTGCCGCTGAGGCGTGATGGAGGCATTCTAAGCCTGGAGCAGGAAGATCTGGGGTCTAAGCCTTGCTCTACAGTTTGAGCAGGTCACCTACCACCACAGACGCAGTTTAGCAGAAAGCTTAAGATCAGGACTTCGGTGCAGATAGAGCTCTGCCTTTCACGTGGTGACTCTGCAAGTTAATGTAAGCAACCTAACCCACTGAGCCTGCTTTCCTAAGAGGTAAGCATTAATGACAGTACCTACTTGGAGCCCCCACCCCACCATCTGCTCCCAGAGAAGCCATGGAAGAAGCAGAGTATGGTGCCTGGCACACAGTAAGTATGTGATGAGTGCTGCAAATGGCTTGAGCCCAACTCCTAACCAAAAGGTTGGTGGTTTAAACCCACCTAGTAGCACTGTGGAAGAAAGGCCTGGCGATCTGTTTTGTAAAGATGAAGCCAAGAAAACCTCATGGAGCAGTTTTACTCTGTAATACATGGGGTCGCCATCAGTCAAATCAACTCAATGGCAACTTTTTTTTTTTAACTCCTGGTCATGATAATCCTACGTACATAGTTGGTATGAGGTTGAAATGAGACCTGGGACCAGGGGACAACAAGAAAGATTCGCTGGAATGATTTTTGAAGTCTCATGCTTCATCTAAAAATAGCATACAGACTTTGCATTCTAATCCATCCTGTATCTACATTTGCTTTAATTCACAAGGTGTTTGCAATTATTTATCATGGTAGAAAACCGAGGATCTAGACAGACAACCTGGTTTTCTATGCTCTAGCCACAGGACCCCGCCCCCCATGTGTTTTGAGAAAGCCTTTGCAAATCACAAAGAACTGCTCAGAAGTGAGGATTAAGTAGGCTTCTCTTTTTAAAAATCAGTATTACTATTAATCAACTTGAGATGCACTACAGTGTGTTTCATATTATTAATTAGCTAATTAAACCACTGTTAGTGAGTTCCTGCTATGCATCAGACACTGTGTTAGCAAACTGATCAAAACAGATTCATCAGCTCCCTGCCTTGATGAAGACTACATTCAGGCAGAGGAGGTAGACACTACACAGACCTTCCAATAACTCACTCTGTAGAGTAATGCCACACTGTGACAAGAGCTGTGAAGGAGGAGAGTGGGCTAGGAAAGCCTGCAACAGGAGAATCAGAAGCCCTAGAATGTTCTCAGCACCAACAGATTTTCAGGAAGTCTGGCTTCCCAGGAAGACTGCTCTGGAGACAGCCTTCTGAAGTGGAGACCTTGGTTATTAAGTGTTTAAAGCTAACTGGGTTATTATCAGCCTTGGTCTGTATAAGGATCCCTGGGTGGCGCAAACAGTTTTCACTTGACTACTAACTTAAAGGTTGGTGGTTTGAACCCCCTCAGTGGTGCTGCAGAAGAAAGGCCTGGTGATTTGCTTCTGTAAAGACTACAGTCAAGAAAACTCTTTGGGGCAGTTCTACTCTGTCACACATGGGGTTGCCATGAGTTGGAATTGACTCAACAGCAATGGGTTTTTTTGGTTTGGGTTCGGGTGATCTGTATATGGAGGACATGGTCTGTTTTCCACAATGCTGGAGAGGCCTGGGTATGGATTTGTGTACTGGGAACCAGACATGGTAGTATTTGACAACCTGCAGTGGGGGAGGGTGAGAGGGAGGGGGTCAGTGCTTTTTGCTTTACATGTAAGATGTAGGCAGGGGCAGGACTGAGGGACATTAGAAGGGCCTCTTCTGCCTTTAAGGAGCCCTGGTGGCACAGCGGCTAAGCACTCACCTGCTAAGTGGTTAAGTGCTCGGCTGCTAACTGAAAGGTCAGCAGTTCAAACCCATCAGCTGCTCCATGGGAGAAAGATGTGGCAGTCTGTCTCCGTAAAGATTTACAGCCTTGGAAACCCTATGGGGCAGTTCCACTCTGTCCTATAGGGTCGCTGTGAGTTGACTCACCACATGTTTGGTTTGGTTTTGGTTTCTTCTTTCTGTTTTTCCTCCCTGGTGAGTGAGAGTGTACACTCTTTGCAAATGTGCCCAAGAGTCTGTTAACAGGTGAGAACTGCTTTACAAATTACAGCCTCAGTATCCCAAGAGGCAAAAGGAAGCCCCATATATTTCCTGTCTGCTCTTCCACCCCTAAGGGAGAGGGTATACGCAGTAATTTGTGTTGGGGCTGGGGCTGGTGGAGAGGTTGCCCCCTCCAATCCCAGGTTGGATTTGGAAACCAGACGTTCCCTGCGGCCCTCTGAGCTCCTTCAGGCTGACTGTACTCGCAGTAAGGAACGCAGGGGAGGTGACCCCCACACCTTCCCATGCACTGGGCCCTGCCCCCAGTGCCCTGGTAATTACTTCCACACCCCGGCCACTCCTTTTTCTCCCCTTGTGCGCTTCAGCACAGCAAACAGGCAGACAGGGAAAGTGTGTAAAATTACTGTGGGGTGGGGGAGGAATTTCCCATTAGTCGTGATAATATTAGTTACAATAATAGTAACACTTCTCACGTTGGCACAGCGCTCACAGTTTAACAAATGTCTTTTTACACATATGATCTCTTTGGAAACCACTGGTGGGGGGTTAGGACCCTGGTGTTTGATTCCCAGCCTCTAACACAGCCCCATGTCCAAAGAGGCCACTTCTTTACAGATGCGCACATGCCCATTGAGCTTTTTAGATCTTTACTTCAGCTGGGCCGCCTCATGAATGCCCTCTCTTTGCTCACGTCAATCCCATTTCTGCAGGCTCCAAGTCCCCACGGCTTCTGTGAAATTTCTACCAAATCCACCCGTTGCCTGATAGGGTCGAGCAGGAAGGGGCCTTTGAGACTGTCCAGCCCAAAGAGGCAAAGGCCTGAGCCAAGGTCACACTGCTTGTCACAAAGTGAGCCAAGGCTCTCCGATCCCGACACACACAGCTACACACACACACAACACCGCTCACAGAGCCCCTGCTTCTACCAGTGCTTAACATTTGGTTTTCTGAAGCCAAGGGTAAATTGAGAGTTCTATTTATCTGAGAGTGGAAGCTCCTTCCGGGCAGCTGCAAATTTCTGTCTCTGCGCAGGAGGTGCTTCACACGTCCTGGTGTTTGGCAGTGTAACCTGTAAACCTTATTCTACCCGCCCAGAGGGCAATGGGTGGGAGGTGCTCCCTGTCCTCCGGAATCCTGCGGGGATTCTTTTATGAAGTTAACAATCTGAGTGCATGAAAACTCTTAATTCTACACTCAAGAGGCGACTCAGGCCGGGGACACGAGGGTTTAACAGACACCGTGGTTGCCCCGGCAGCAGGAGGCACCTGCACACCAGCACCGGGTCTTCCATTCCCCGAGTCCGCGCCCGCTCCGGCCGCTCCTCAGCCCCCGCCCCGCCGTCCCCCCTCCTCTCCGGCCTCAGATCTCCGGGTCCGTCCTTCCCCGCCCCACGCGGCAACAAGTGCGGGAGCCGCAGCGCTTCTTACCCCGGCCGCGGTCCATGGCGGGTGACCCGGACGTGAGGAGCCGCAGGATCCGGGGGCTACGGCGGGGCTGGCGGCAGTGGCGGCGCGCGCGCTGCGCTCTTCAGTCCCGGCTCCGCGGCCAGCGCACTCCGCGCGTCCCCTCCCCCCGACAGGATGCTAGCCGGGCGCCCCCGCCCCGCCCGCGCCCGCCCCTATACGCCACTCCCGGAATAGAGCCAGCGCACGCCTCGCCCCCTGTGCTGCCCGCGGGTGTCCCGTGGCCCGCACACCGCTGCACCACGCCCTCCCTTCCGCACACCCTCCGCACCCCTGCCGCTGGGAGCTAGAGGACCCACGACCCCTTCACACGATTTGGTTCTCGTGCCGCCTGTCCTATCCTAGTCCAATCAAGGCTTTGCTTGTTCAGTTTTGCTTGCACTCCGCTAGTGATGGGGGGCTCACTACCGCACTTCTCAGCTCATTCCGTTTTCGGATTGCGGAGACTGTTAAAATGCGTTTTTCGCCGGTGGAATCAAACTCCCTGCAGCTTCCACCCATTTTCTGACTTTGAGTTTATCTTCTCCGTTTGACAGGTCTTTCCTGAGCACTTTCTAGTGGGAGGTGCTAAGCTGGAGCAATGTTAATAATAGTGTGAAAGAAGAGTAAAATCATAATAATAAACAAATATTTTCATGAAGAAAACCACCTAGGAAAAGGAATGGCTTGGGACACTTCCAGTTTTTGAGGTTCCAGCCCTGGTGGTGCAGTGGTTAAGAGCTCGGCTGCTGACTAAAAGGTCAGCAGTTCAAATCCACTAGCCACTCCTTGGAAACCCTATGGGGCAGTTCTACTCTGTCCTATAGGGTTGCTGTGAGTTGGAATCCACTCGACAGAAGTGGGTGGTGTATATTAAAACATTAAAAAAAAATGCCAAAACAGAATGACAAAAATTGTGGAAATTAACACTTTTAGCATACAAATTACAGTGCAAGGTAAGTGTGCTCTTCCCAAGATAATTACGGGATATAGAAAACATTGCTGCAGGCAGTGTGATCTAGCAATGAAATTTAAGTTTAAAGCTGTGTGGAGAATGTCAACTTCTTTCATCCTATATCTCTGTGAAAATAGGTTTAACTTATTTGTAGACAATATCAAATGTCTAAATGTGAAACCCTGCATAAACTGAATTCCAGGTTCAAATGTCCTAGAAATTCCTTTCCTTCATGATGGGCTGGGTAACGGTTTTAGTTTTGACTAGGCTACTCCTTTACTTAGAACATTCCAGCATTGGGAACGCCTTGTGCAAAGGTACAGAGGCAAGAAAGGGCCTAAGAAAAAGCATCCCACACTTTCCTGAGCTGGGAATATTTTCTCCATTGCTTATGGGCAAGTAGAAATCAACTCTGTCTTTACAAATTTACATCAGTAGTTTGTTTAGTAGTGTATATGTGCGTGAACACTTGGAAGAAATGTGGTGTGGTGAAAAAACAATGGGATTTTGAATCCAAAAATATGTGCATTAGCTCTTGTTCTGCTACTTATTAAGTTTATAGCTTTCAGTCTATGAGGCTTACTTGCTCAATTGCACTATGAGAAACCTTATATCGACCTCACGGGGGTGTTAGGAGAGCAAATGAAATTATACAAACCCATTTTATAAACCATAAATAGCTATAAAAATGTGAGCCATTATTATTTTCCAGGTTTCTCTTTGTTCCTGCCCACTTTTCCAATTTGAAAAGGTCAGTTTAAATTCTAAAGCAGACAACCAACAATTTACAAAAGGATTAAGTTCCAAAAGTTCATTGTTTGAACTCTGAAGCAGTTGGAAACAAGGCTATAAATTGTAGTTCAGTTCCCAGGCTGGCCTACTAATACTTTTTAAAACATAGTATTTCATTTGATATAAAAAAGTATAAAATGTTACTATGCAAAAACAGCTTGAGGCTTTTGTAGAGAATCTGTAGAGAACTTTCAAGGACTTTGGAAGTTTTTGCAGAAATTTGGAATAAAAAAGTCAAAACGAGAATTTTTACATGTCTGTGGAATAATTTATGGGGTTGAATTAACTGAGCTGTGGTCTGGGAAAAATATAAAAAGGTAAGAACACTGTCTGCCCAGTTCTCTTGAGGATTAACAAAAGTTACCAATGATGTCCACTAGGTGATGATGTTGGCTACACTGACTAAGTACAGCTTGGTTGCTGTAAGGGCAATTGAATGTGATGGAGAATGAAGTAGTAGCACATAAATAACTATTTATGAGTTTTGGACAAGGGATAGCTATATACTTTTTTCTGCACTTTTCCTTTAATGAGAGTCTGTATTCACCATAAAAATCATCCCCCCTGTTTATCAGTTCACTTAAGCGGTATTTATTGCACTCTATGCAGGGTCCTATTGGGAGACCTAATATTTAGTAGAAATGATCTCATTCTCAAGGAGTCTACAATCTAGTAGAGGAGATATAAATGTAAAAATGATTTTAATACAAATTATTATGTGAAAAGAATCAGAGGAGAGATAAATTTCCAAAAGACAAAGCAAGAATTTCTCACTGACCATGGAGACTTGCTGGATGCAGGGGCAACTGAGCTGGGTAAGATTTGAACATGCAATGAGGAGAGAACATTACCGGCAGAGGAAACAGTGAGGGAAAAGACACAGAGATAGAAAACTGCAAGCTGTGTCCGCAAAACAGTTTGGTTTGGCTGGAGTGTGGGGCGTCTGGTGGTAAGCACTGGGAAAAAGAGAGGAATGGAGGTTGTTGATGCCTGGTTTTCTCCTCTTTCCAGTTTTCTGTTTGAGTGCAACTCTCTGGCAAGTATCTTTGGGATCTGCCTCACATTCCTTTCCTTCTTGATTTTGTGATCAGTACTAAGTTTTCCAGGTTTGCCCTGTGCTTGTCTAAAGAATCTGTGTAGGGAGCTCCAGCTCTGTAAAAAGATATCAAATTTGGTCCCAGTGAACACCACCAGGAAGAAGGCTTTCAACTCCCTTATGCTCCCAGTCTTGGGAAAACAAATGCTACTCCCTAGTCTCATTCTCAGCTTATCAGGTGGAACTGGGAAGCCCTGGGAACAGAAAGAATAATTTTAAGGATAAAAGTTCAGTGAAAGAAACATGCTCTAGCCTTTTTACCTGTCACCTTGCCTCCAGGGTCTGCTTCCATCAGGGATACCAGAGTGACCATTCCATGACCCCAATCTGACCATGTCACTTCCCGCATAAAGATATTTGATGGCTCCTTTTTGCCCTCAGTCTAAAGTCCAAATTCCTTATTATGGAATTTGGGGTATCTTCTTCACTAAACCTCAACCCACTGTTCATCAGAGTAGACAAAGCAGTGACCTCAGGACATCCCAGGAAGAGTAGGAAAGCAACAAATTGGGGGTTTGGATCTGGGTTCTTGAACTGACTTTGCTGCTGTATGGATCTCAGTTCTTCCATTGGGTCTCCAATGTATAATTTCCTATTTTCATCTCTCTTTACCCTCCCCTGGCACCCCAGATTGTAAGAAATGTGAGGGCAGGTGCTGTGTCTTACACATTGCAATATCCCTAAGAGTCTAGCATGGTGCCTGAAACCTAGTAAGTGGTACTAAAAATTTGTTGTGAATCAGTGGGGTCCCTGGGTGGTACAAATGGTTAACGCTTGGTTGCTACCTGAAAGATTGGAGGTTTGAGTCCACCCAGCTGCATCTCGGAAGAAAGCCCTGGTGATCTACTTCTGAAAGGTCACCACAGCCATTGAAAACTCTATGGAGTGCAGTTCTACTCTGACACACATGGAATCACCATGAGTCAATCAACTTGATGGCAACTAGAGGAAATCAGTGAATAAAAATACTCAAGGACCTTTCAGGCCTGCTATTTTGGAATTCTATTAATGTATGTGACCTCCTCTGGAGATTGGTTTATTTGCTTATTTATTTGCAGAAGGAAATGAAGTTCCAGTGAGGAGTTCTGCAGGAAATGGCTTTTTGCTTCCCATCCCCACCGCATGCTGCTGTGGACCTGCAGCCCAGCCCACAGGGCTTCTCCCTTGGCTCAAGGCCCAATCTCCCATGATCCTTTGTGGAGAGTAAGCCCCAGAGCCCCTTGCTCGGGTCTCTGCCCAATGTTGGCTGTTGGATGAAAACTTCTCTTGTTCCACTCAGTACAATGTCACCATTATAACCCCTATCCAGGGAAATGACACATGCCTGCTGGTCCACCCTGAGCCCCAGAAAGGAGATAGAGATCTGAGTGGTGGTTGCTAGGATAAAGAGTTTCATGGATGGATGGAAACCCCTCCTTCCTGAGCACCTTCAGTTTTCTGCTCCAGGGCATGGGGCTCCTACCTGCACCCGGGCCAGAGGGTTCAGCTTCCACAGTCAACGGAGCCCAGTGCACTTGTGTCTGCAGGAAAGGGAGTTTTTGTTTTCATGCCCAGAAGCTGCACGAAGCACACCCCCTTCCTTTTTGGTCCTTCCCCCAGAAAACGGCACCTGGGCTTCTTAAGGTGTTCCTAGGTGGTGCATATGTTAATGCACTCAGCGGCTAACTGAAAGGTTGGAGGTTCAAGTCCACCCAGAGGTGCCTTGAAACAAAGGCCTGCCAATCTACTGAAAAATCAGCCATTGAAAACCCTATGGAGCACAGTTCTACTCTGACACACATGGGATCTCTAGGAGTTGGAGTTGGCTTAATAGCAACTGATATGGGCAGCCTCCTTAAGCGAGGCTCACATGCTGAGGTGCCTGCAGGGCCAGGTGGGTCAGGTGTGAGTGAAGCAGGCCAAGGAGTAGCAGGGACAGCAGCAAAGCAGAGCGCTCTTGTCCCATGTAAAGCGGCCAGTAGCCAGTCCTCTCGGGCCAGTGTGGCCAGTGGGAACACGGGCCTGGTGCGGCCAGATCTTTGGATTTTTCAGGAGAACTCAGAAATTCAGATTTTAGTGTAAAATCTCTTGATTTAAAAATGTTGACAACTAATTTTAATTGTTTTAGAACATTGCAGGAACCAACGAAACCACCCCTGTGGGCTTAACCTGGCATACA